GATTTTTTTTTAAATCGATTCAGTAGTATGAGCTTAAATGTGGACGAAAAGTTTAACACATTTTTTCAAATTAAAAAGAAACGGCTCGGCAGATCGTCGCACAAAAGTGACAAACTGTAGTCCTAATTGAGATACATCGAATGAGTTTTGAATGTTTGAAATCGGTTCAGGCGTTTTTGAACAAACGTCGATCAAAGGTCTAATTTTGACAAATGCCTTTAAATGTTTGATATCGGTCCAGACGTTTTTGAGCAAACGTCGATGAAACGTCAAAAATCTGTTTACACACACACATACTTTTTTCCAAATTTGGTCTCATTCGATTCAGAATGGCTTAAAACGTCGAGAGAACATGAATACCGAGCAAATCGGATTTTTTGATGAAAACATAAATTTCTCCTTATATAATTGAAAAATAAATTACAATACAAAATGCCTAACATATTCTTCTGTACGTTTCATCACTATATACGTGCCATCAATTCAGCAGTTCTGAAATATCGGAAAAGATGAATTATTAATATAAACTAATAATAATGCATGAATAATTTATAAAAAAATACATACCTAGCGAAATTGAACTAAAAAAATATAACATTTCATATAAACATAATTAAAAAAAATTATAGGATTAAAATATTTGTAACAAAATTATGTTTGTTAAAAGTATTCAAATTTGACTATTGCAAAAAAAAAATTAAATGCAAAAAAGTGATTAAATTAATAATATAAAAATATAGAACTCGATAATGGAACATATACGGATTCGAAACGTCTAAAACATTTACAAATATACATATGTATATGAAAAAAAAATTAAAGAAATACATACCATACCAAACGAAACTAAAAATATAGAAAAAAATTAAAAAGCAACCAAAATTTAATTCAAAAAATTAAAATTATAGTATAAAAAATATTTAATAAAATTATGTTTGTTAGAAGTACTTAAATTAGACTTTTAGAAAGAAATGATTAACTGCACAAACATGAATAAATTATTAATATAATTTTAAAAAAAACTTGATGGAACACATGAAGATCCGAAACGTCGAAAATTATAACTTATTTACATAACCAGTACAAGTATATACACTATTATGAGTAAAATACTCACTTTTTAGTAAATGATGATGTTGCAAACGTTTCGGCACTATGTTTTATCCATCACCAGTGTGTACTTGAATAAATTATTTATTTTAGCTATAAAAAGACATCAGAACTTTAAATAGTGTTTAGATTCGATGAATGAATATCGAAAAAAATAAAAAAATTAAAAACCTGAAGATGGAACAAATCTAGATCCAAAACGTCGATAATTAGAACTTATTTACATAACGAATACAAATATATACATTATTGCATTAACATATATTAATTGAAAAAAATACAAATAAAATACTCACTTGTTACTAAATTATGTTAATGTTGCAAACGTTTCGGCACCATGTTCCATCCATCACCAGAGTGTGTACTTGAATAAATTATTTTAGTTATCTTGAAATATTGTCTTGATGATACATCTTGAAATATACACTACACAAAATAAACAAATAAAAATTAATAAACTCATTAAAATTATTAACAATAAGTTGTTATATAAAAGTATTTATTCCAGTCAAATAAAAATAAATACAAATTAAATAAAAATCATTAACAATAATTAGTTATAGTTAAAATGTTCATAAGCATATAGATACTCATACATATATTAGGGTGGTCCTTGATATGGACATTTTGGAATTTCTTTGTTCCCAAGGGCTCAAATACCTCCAAAGTAATAAAAAAATTTGTCTAAAAATGTAAGCTTTTAATATTAACATTTAGACAGTCCGCAAATCAATTTAAAGTTCGTATATTATTACTACAATATATCCTTAATATTTATAAAAACACTTAACTTCTAATTAAATCTATGTGGACTGTTTAACGAAATAATTATTCATCATGGCATCAAAATTAATTTTGCATCAAAATATTTATTTAATTGATGATTTTGATACTCAAGTTATCAGTAATAAATTGGCATCAAAACTACAAGTCTGCAATCACAGATGGCGCAAGAATTTACTTAATGACATATGTTAATAATGAATATACGAAACTTATAATTGAATTGCGGACTATCTAACTAAATGTTAATATTAAGAGCTAAAACTTTCAGAGAATTTTCTTTTATTAGTTTAGAAGCATTTGAGCCCTTGGGAGCAAAGAAATTCCAAAAAGTCCATATCAAGGACCACACTAATATATGTATATACATATATCTTTTACTCCGTCTTTTAGTCAGCGTCTTTTACTATTATTATTTTATTTATAATATATACAAAGTTAAAATACTTAAATCTAAAATCACAAATTATATATACATAACACGTAGATATGAATCTGCATATAAATTAATAAATTAGAGTTTTTATAATGGCAGGATAAAATAATTTCGATAGAATAAATTTATTAATTAATTAATTAATTAATTAATACCTAATATTAGTAAAATAATTCGAAACCAGTTACAACAAATTGCAGGTACTGGTAATAAGGGACGTACAAAGGTAAAAAAATTATACTATTATATATATATATATTATATATATAATTATTTATTTATATATATATATATATATATATATATATATTTGCTCTGTGACGTCACAAACCAACTTGAAATTTTATTAATTTCAAATAATTTTCACTATTTTTTAAAATAGAGTTTATATTTTTATCAATTTTCTTATTAAAAAAAAGAGTTTTTATTCTAATACTTGTCTTTTAGTATTTAAATTAAAAAGTAATTTAGTAAAAACTTATGCCTATAATAAATATGGTTTAAAACAATTTTGTACGTCCCTGTCTTTTTTTTCTTTAACAATTCTAAAATTCAACACAATTTTTTTTTTGAAAATTTTGATCGACACGTTGGTAGATATGATAAGAAAATATATTAATAATATAATAGTAATAATAATTATTATTTTATTATTATTAAAAATAACAAGTGCTCTAAAGTGTTTTTATACAAACAAACAGTATGAGAGCTAATAGTAAAAATACTCTTTTTATTTTGTAAATTATTAAATCAGAGATATTTATGTTCATCTGTTAAGATAAAGAATAACAGTTCTTAAAAATACTCTCTGTTGTAAAATTTAAACTAATAATTAAATTTTGTTTCTAAATTTGCTATTATATTTTTAAACTCTGTATAGAATACTCTTGTTTAGTAAAATTTAAATTAAACTT